TCTGAGCTGGCAGTCAGCACAGAGCCCGACGTGGGGCTCGAACCCACAAACTGCGAGATCATGACCTAAGCGAAAGTCGGACGCTTAACCGACTAAGCCACCCAGGCACCCCATAGAATGCATGCGTATTGAGAAGTGGAAAACAATGGTTGGTTTTGTACTGCCTTTCCACTATTCTGGTAAGAAGGAAATACACATGTGTGGGCTATGAAATATGAATTTTGTTGATTCTGCATGTGAGTTAAATGCTCTTATATTTTCCTATAAAGTGGGCATTGCACAATCTAAAAGCAAGTGGTAAATTCATGTTAATGATAAAAAATTTTGTTTATTATTTTTTTGTAATAAGAATGCTATTAAATAGCAAAATAAAAAAACAAAACAAGTTGAGAGAGACCGTGAAATAAAGGACAACTTTATATTTTAGTACCTTTGATGGCACATTTTCCCCTGGGTTTTGAACAAGGGACCTTGTAAACTATGTAGCTAGCCTGGATTGAGAAAGAGGGAAGGGTCTTTGAATTTTGGCTTTGAGTAGTGGACACAAAAAGCATCTCAGTGGTGCTCTGGTCATGCCTTCTCTGTTCATTATGCGCTACACTGCATTTGAAGAAGCAGAGAGCTAGAGGTGGTTTCAAGGTCACCCAAGATGCAAATGGGTAAGCCAGGGCTATAACTCAGGTCACTTGACCCCATTCTTTTCTTAAGTCTAGTGTTCTGCACATGATATGTGCTCTTCCTTCTGTCAGGAATCCTACGTTAGGACTTGGAAATAAGATACTCCTATGGAAGTCAAACCATCTGCTCAGTACACGGGGACTGATATGCAAACTAATATGGTTTCCATCCAAGGCCAGGGAGGCTTGAACAGCACTTGGTTAAAAATAAGACATTGTATTCTGGGGAAGATTAATTGGGCAGTGTTTTAGTCCTCATGTTTTTTGTCTTAGTGGACACTATTCAATCAGACACTTGCTTTGCTTGGCCTCCCACATTCCACCTTCCTGACTTTGTAACATTAAAGCATCTCAGGGGGCAGTTCTCTGACCTTTTCTCTTCTTCTGCCTTTGCTCATTCCTTCAGTGATCTCATCTAGTCTAATGAGCCTTAAAACAATCTGCATGCTAATGGCTCATCTATTTATATTTCTAGCCCTGACGCCTCCCCGAATTCCTTCTAACATATCTGATGACCTACTGGACATCTCCACTCCAATGTCTAACAGGAATCACACATTTAAGACACAAAATCAACCCTTGGATACCCCTCTCCCCTGAGAGTGCTCCCCACCTCAGTTATTGGCAGCTTAATCACTCCAGTTGCTCAGGTCAAAACCTTTCATATCTCATGTCCAATCCTTGGGCAAATCCTAAAGGCTCTGCCTTCAAAATATATCCAGAATCTGACTGTTTCCTACAACCCCACTGCCTTGCTTTGAGGTACAAGTTACTACCATCACCCACCTAGATTATTCCAGTAATTTCTGGACCGATCTTCCCATTTTGGCCCTCATCTTTCTTTTAGCAGAATGATTTCATTAAACGTGTCACCCCTCTGCTCAAAACCTCCCAATGGTTTATCATCAGACACTGAAAAGCAGCCCAACCCTTATAATGGCTGCAGAGCCTGCCAGCAGACAGGCCTGGGGTCTCTTGGACCTTAGCCCTCACTTGTTCCCCTCACTCACTGGCTCTGCTCCAGTCACGCAGCCTCCTTGTTCTTCCTCCAATTAACCTGAGACTCTCCCACCTTCAGGCCTTTCTACTTCTGTATGCTTTCTGTGGAATGCTCTTTCCCCAGAAATCTGCAAGGTTCACTCCCCCACTCCCTACAGATTGTTATTAAATGTCACCTTCTTGCAAGGCCTTCCCTGATCACTTACTGATGACTATAGGCACATTCCCAGGAACATTCTCTGTCTCTCTGGTCTTTATTCCTCATAGCACTTATCACCATCTACCATGCCATGTAGTTAGCTTTATATTCTATGGATTATCTGTTTTCTTCCATTAGAATGCAGCTGCTTATTTGTCTGTTTTTGTGCACTTTATTCAAGTGTCTGAGCCTGCCATGAGAGTTAAGTCATAGACGACCTATGGCCAATGATTTGCCCAGATATAATGGACCACTCAGCCATGCCCCACGAGCCTCTCTGATCTCATATTCTAGGCTCCACCTGGAGGATCTTTTGCCAATTTATCTTGGTTGAAGAGTAAGGCCATCTTTCAAGGTTTGGTTTAACAGTTATCCTCTTAGAAGCCTTTCCTGACCTTCACCTTCTTTCACCTTGACTTAACTACACTCTGACAAGAAAAATAAGCAAAACCAGAAACAGGTGAAGAGCCTTTATATGACTATTTATGGGGAAGAAAGCGAATACACATTGAAGTATACACTGGTATATATCTGGAAGGCAACTGGCCAGTTAGCAAATTAAAACATGCATAGCTTTTGACCCAGCAATGCACTTCAAAGAACCTAACCTACAAAAATCCTGAGCAAGTATACAAAGATATGTGTGCCAAGACTTTGTAGCTCTTTTGTACTGTCAGCAGAAGCTGGTTTAATAAATTTTAGTTCTACAGAGTACTCCATGTTGATGGAAAAATATGTCAAGATATTTGTTAGGTGAAAACTGCCCAACACTATGTATGACATTATCCCATTGGTATTAAAGGAAGCATGATGGAAGAAAGGAAAGAAGAAAGGAAGAGAGGGCATGAGGAGGAGGGAAGGAAGGAAGGAAGGAAGGAAGGAAGGAAGGAAGGAAGGAAGGAAGGAAGGAAGGAAGGAAAGAAAGAAGGAAGAATGAAAGAACAGGCAGAGGGAAGGGAAGAAGGGGTTGTTTGTTGGTTCTGTTGTATGAATTTGATTCTAAAGTATGAGAATAAGACAAAAATGATACATATGGTGAAAATTACCTTGGAAAACCCCTAATAAGACCTGTAAGAGACAGTATAAAAGTTTCATTATCTTTCAATATTTTTCCTCTAATATTGGAACAGAGTTTTTGTTTTTCCATCGACCACAAATAAAGTAATGATTGCACTGTATTTTGGGACTATGCTACATGAGAACTACCCACTCTGTTATAAAATGCTAAATGTCCTTCAATCGGTATCCGTTCCTGTGAGAACAACAGGGATGCATCTCTTTTCCTGGGCCTCCTCTGTAGTGTACATTCATTGAGGAGAAAGGGGGAGGGGGGAACTTCCCACATTATGTAAATTGCTTGTCTCTGTCACTCTACATTTCTGTCTGTCTTTTCTCTGAGCATATTAAATATGCATTTGGTATGACTCTACTGTATGTATGTGTATGCCATTTGCTTTTTACTTTTACTCCTTTTCAGTGTTTGAATTCAATATGAGCATATACTATTTTTATAATGAGTAATGAGATAAATGTTTGAAAAATCATCTTATAGATGCAGAAAATAAAGTATATGTCAAGATTGTAAATTAGCTTTTTTTTTTTTTTTTAAGTAATCAATTGTTTACCATGGGGAAAAAAGGGACATTGTTAATTGTTATTGTCTTTTTGGTGAAAATGACAATTGACTTTGTCTCTTCTCCCTCTCTCCTTCCTTTTTTCCTTTCTGTGGCTTTTGGTGTTGCTGGAAGCTGCTGGTATTTCAAGGAGGCAGCAAGACCTTTGCAGAACTGATGTAAAGGGACTCCCTAAGCATGGAATTAAGACCATCCCAACACAACGCACAATGCACAAAAATACTTTAGGTGATCTGTTTAGGGAGAAGGGCAAGTAAGAGATAAAGGAAGTAGGCATTTTGCTTCTTATGATCTCTCTGGCCTCCAGGATCTTGCCCTCTGCTCCATAAAAGATCTCAGCAGCTCAGACACTGCTGCCAATTGCGCCCATGGGATCCAGTGGGTCCAAGCTCATGGTACCTATGAGTTAGGAACCATATAACTGCAAGGACTCACTCTTGTATTTTCCACACTCTTAACACAGTCCTGGCACATAGTAGGCACTTAATAAAATAGGTGACAATTATTGAGCTCTTACTATTACATGCCTGACCTGGGTTACCTGTTATAATTTATCAAAAATCCTATGAAGCAGGTACATAAATCTATACTGTTAAGGTAAGGGTACCAAGTTATAGAAAGGTTAGGTAATTTCCCTGAGCTTGTAGATCTGGGAATTTGAAACCAGGTAGTTAGACTCTAGGGATAGACCTTTTAACTGCCATCCTGCCTCTGAAAACTATGTGTTGAATAAATAAATGAACGATGAGTGGATCAGACTTGCCCTTATGAAAGTCCTGTCAAAAGATATTTCTCTAATAAAATGGGGGTGGGAGTAGCATGTGTAGGAACTGAGTCATTCACACTTTCTAGCTTGTCATCTCTTGTGCGCCAGAAGGCTGGCTAGGGTTAGGGCCAAAATTCTTTGGGAAAGAGACAAACTGAACCATAGGTTCTGTTCCAGAATTCTCTAACAGATCCATTTGGCCCCAAACTCCAAGTGAGGTCCACTCTACTTTCCCCATCTCTACAAACCACTTAGAGTCATAAACACAAAGTATGTGCAAAGAGGACAGTGGGGAGAGAACAGGTTCTGAGAGAACCACCCTTTCCACTTGGCAACAGTTGTAGTAACCTCTAGAAAAATAGCAGAACTGTTAAACATAAGAATGATAACAATAATGGTGGGCGTATTGTTTTCTAATATCCAGTCTCTTCTTCCATGGTTAAAGAACTACTAATTTGTAGTTGTATATATGGTTGCCCAGACTCAAGGATATATTTCCCAGCCTCCTTTCAAATGGGATGTGGCCATATGACTATGTTCTCACAACTGAGATTTAAGTGAAAGAATGGCAGCCTCTGAGAAACTTCCTTAAGGGGGAGATGACACAAATATTTTTTCCCTCTTCTTCAACCTTTTCTCCTTCCTGATGGCTGAAATGCAGATGTGATGGCAGAAACAGAAGCAGCCATCTTGGGCCATAATATATCAATATCTACATTTTGCAGATAAGGAATCTAAGAGTGGAATGAAGGCAGTAAGCTTAGAAGATGAGTCTCAGGTTTTCATGGAGCAGAGCCATCCAGATGTGGACTGCCTACTTTGGGAGTGCAATATACAAGAAAAATAAACCTTCATCATATTTAAGGTATAATGTTTTGGCTCTCTGTTCCTCATATCAATTAATAGACATCATCATGGTTTCTTTGAAATAGTCTACATTGGTGGGTCAGAAGACTTGTTTTATTTCCACTTTTCCCTCTGTTTTACTATATGCTTCTAAGTTCTCCTGTTCCTAAACTATAAGTTAGAACTAAATATAGTTCTTTCACGTGTATTGATTTTTAAGGTAAAATATATTTCATTTTTAAAAATAGTTTATTGTCAAGTTGGTTTCCATATAACACCCAGTGCTCATGCCCACAAGTGCCCTCCTCCATGGCCATCACCCCCTTTCCCTCCCCCCACTCCCCTCAGCCCTCAGTTTGTTCTCAGCATTCAAGAGTCTCTCATGGTTTGCCTCCCTCCCTCTCCCCAACTATTTTTCTCCTTCTTCTCCCCCATGGTCCTCCGTTAAGTTCCTCCTAATCCTCCTAGATGTGCAAACATATGGTATCTGCCCGTCTCTGCCTGACTTATTTCGCTCAGCATAACACCCTCAAGTTCTATCCATGTTGCTACACATGGCCAGATTTCATTCTTTCTCATTGCCATGGAGTATTACATTGTATAGATAAACCACATCTTCTTGATCCATTCTTCTGTTGATGGACACTTAGGCTCTTTCCATGTTTTGGCTATTGTTGAGAGTGCTGCTTTGAACATTGGGGTTCATGTGCCCCTATGCATCAGCACTCCTGTATCCCTTGGGTAAATTCCTAGCAGTGCTATTGCTGGGTCATAGGGGAGTTCTATTCTTAATTTTAAACACTTAAACACTTTAAACACTGTTTTCCAGAGGGGCTGCACCAGTTTACATTCCCACCAACAGTGTAGGAGGGTGCCCGTTTCTCCACATCCTCACCAGCATCTAGAATCCTCTGATTTGCTCATTTTAGCCACTCTGACTGGCATGAGGTGGTATCTCAGTGTGGTTTTGAAAAAGGAGATTTGAGAAGTGAATGCCAAAAAGGCTGAGGGGATATGGTTACTTTGTAGTTCTTTGGCCTTGGGTTACAAGGGCGAAGAGACCTCACTTTAATCAATTAATTTAAGTACAAAAGAGAGTTTACTGGTTCACAAAATCCAAGGGAAGTTTAAATATTTCATCTACAGGATGCCCAAAGATGAAACTGGGCCTCAGAAAAGCTGGAAACAGGGTTTGTCCATGTCTTTTAACCTGACTTCTATTTAGTCTCAGATTTAGTCTCTTGCTGTAGACTGACTCTTAACACAAGACAAGTTTCACAGCTTACAGGAGAATGGGATGACTCTCTGTATTCTGTTGTCAGCACCATCAAGGAGGAACCCTGATTGGCCAAACTTGGTTCAGCTGCTCTCCCTGGAGACCAATCAGTCATTGTCAGAAGGCATGCTATGCAAGAGAACTGCACCTGCAGAATGTGTATATGTGGATTTCATACGTGGAGACGGAATTTTATACAATTGAGTATGTGTTACTTTCACAATGAATGATGAGGTAAATATTTGGAGCAATGAGGTAAGTATAGGGAGTGGGGAATAAGAAAGCATAAGTGAGTGTGCACACTTTTTAAAAAGATGAAGCTGGACAGCACACACCTTGGGTGACCACTACAGATGTCCAAAAATGGGGAGAGAAATTCTGCTGGTAATGGAGCAAAGGATGGTAGACCAAGTGGAAGTCAGAAGACCTGATTTGTAGTCCTGACAAAGTCCTTTGGCACGTCTCTTTCTTCAATCAGTCACAGTTTCCACATTTGTAAAGTGATGTTAAATTAGCTTGAATTTGCTCCATTGTTTTCAAAGTTTTTTTTTTTTTTTTTTTTTTTTAACTTATACAGAAGTTCTTGGGGTATTTAATGGTTAGGGTTTTTTTGGATCCTTACTAGGCCTTCTTTCCATTCCCTACAAAAGCAAAATCCTCATACCCATACACACATTAACACATTCACTCACTCACGTGTACTTACTCTTGCACATCTTACACCCCCAACCCCACACAGACACATATGGTGGACCATGAACCATTTGTTTGCTGGATTGGATGATCTAAAGTGTCCCTTACAGGTTCTGCATGTTCATGAGTCTATACAAAGTGGGAACTGTCTGAGGCTTTGAGCCCAAAATTCTAGAGAACAGCAGCTGACACAGAGAAAAGTAATAATTATGAAGGTTCAAACAAATGTGTAGGACTTTCTACTCTCCCATTTGCCTGAGCCTGTGTCTTCTCACTAGAGGCAGAAGGCAAAGTGCAATCTCTAGATCCTGAGAAGCTGCACTTACCAAAAAAAGGTCTGCATAAGCCCTATTTATGCACAGGATCTTGCCCATCTATGGGCATCTCTATCCTTATTTCTACCTTTAAATATGTATAGATTAGGAACAAAATTAAGATGCATGGCATTTTTTAGTTTGATGCTATTTTCTGAATGAACAATTACTAAAGTAGAGAAACTCTGGAATGAAGGGTTGGAGAGAGATTTTGATTGGTCTTGGAAAAGGCTGGGAACAGCTTTCTTCAGAGTTAAGTTTTGAGTCAGGAGTCTTCTCCCCTTAAGCAGGTATGTTTCCAATTTGTCTGTTGCTTGGGGCAGAGGTGGCCCTGCCATCCTTCGCTGATCCCTCTGATCCCTCCACAGGACATGATTCCCCTCTGCCTGGTAAGAAGACAGATTCTCTCAAGCACAAAGCCATGCTGTCTTGAGCTGGCACCTTCCTGCGTGGGAACTCGAAGCCACTCTCAAGGGCCCTTTCTTTCTCTCTACAGCTTGTGAGCCAGGGAGGCGGCCAGCTGGGCGGTTCCCACATTGAGAAACTGGGTGGGGCCTAGGGAACCCTTTGGCCTTGGTTGAAGAGCCAGACCTAGGCCCCTCCCTGGCAATTCTATATAATGCAGAAATGGCCAGAGAAAGAGAGCTTTGTGGAGAAAGCACCCTCCCATCAGGCCAAGACTCATTGGGCCCTGACACTGATGTGGGCAGAGAAAAAATGGCTGGCTGTTTTATCACTTGGCTAGGCTGGGGCCCAATCCCCTTCTGAGAGCCCTGGGTGGTATGTAAGTGGGGGCGTGAAATGGACCTCCCTGGAGAGTCTGATGTGGACCTCCCCCACCCCTGACCCGGGTGATGTAAAGTAACCAAAACATACTCCTTTTCCCTCCAGGGATGTATAGGAAGTTCAGCAAAACAAACAAAACCTCTTGGGATTGAGTGTGGGTGGGATGACCTTTGGCAAAGTGGGGGTCATTTTTTGGAAAGGGGGTTGCTCTATGGAAAGCTGGTAAAGGAGACAGAAGAGAGGAGGAAGTCTCCATATACAGGACACTGTGTCAGAAATGGAAAGAGAGGAGCCAGGCTGTTTCTCTTCCATCATTGTCCCCTCTTCCTGAAGGGGACCCAGTAATTTGAATCAAGAGTTGTTCACCAAATAAGACCCCAACCATCATGGGCCTTGATGCAAAGCACTGGCTATTTTGTCACTGCACATGGATGAAATGACTGGGTCTGCCTTCCACGTTCCAGACACCATACATGAGAGAGAGATTTCCCCTGAATTAAGGAGTTCCCTGTCTAGTAGGGAAAGCAGATGAGCCAATAGGCAAATAATGATACAGCACCAGGGTAGAGGAGCACAGGGTGCTGTGCAGGTCCTAGCAGGTGAGCCTCCCCAGGACTTGGACAACCAGGGAGGCTTTTGGGAGGAAGCTGAGAGTTCAAGGATAAGGTGGGATTAGTCAAATGAACAAGGGGTGGGGGTGTTCTAGAAAGAAGGAATTGGACATGCAAAAGCTTGGTGGTGAGAGAAAGAAGTTGAGCTCCAGGAATTCTATATGGCTAAAGATTTTACTCTAGGTAAGTCAAGAAAAGATGAGCCTGGGCTTGATCAGGCAGAATGGTACCAAGTAGTTTGGACATCATCTTGGGGACATAGAGGAACTCCTGATGAGTACTGAGCCCAAGTGGCATGATTAAATGTAAACTTTGGAAGGCCTGCTGTGAGCTACCTATGGACACTGGATTCAAAAGGGATAAGACTAAAAAGGCTAGAAGGCCATCACTGAAACCCAGGCAAAAGATGGTGAGGGTGTGAGAGCCCATCTTGGTCTGGCTTATAATCATTTTTATCACCGCCCTCTCTCCTAGTCGATTCTGGGAAGTGTGACAGCTCCATCAGAACTTATAGAAGCTGCCAGGAGCCACATCATCACGTCCTCACCATCTCTTGCTCATGGTAGCTCATGGAAAGCCTTCCAAAGCTCATGTCTGACCATGCCACTTGAGCTCAGGACTCAGCCCGGCATTACATAAACTGTCAGTGGCAGTGGGATTTGGAGTCTAGGTAAAGAAGAGGCTGGCTCTGGAGGGCAAAGGGGAGGGAGAAAGGGGAGGAAGAGGTGATGCCAGGTTTCTGGCTCAGTAGAGATTGGGATTTCCAAGCTCTGAATTGTACATTTACAGCTCTGATGAAGCCAACTCTGCAGATCATGAGTCCCTGAGGAATAGTTCTACAACTGGGGTTGGGGTTGGGGGCAGGGGAAGGGATGTTCCCATAAAGACAGTGGCCCTGACAGGAAGACTAGACTATGGTTTACACATTTATCATCTGTCTTCCCCACTAAAATGTTCTCACCATGACTGTAGACTTTGTATTGTTCTCTGTTGTATCCCAGTTGCTGGAATAATGCCTGGCACACAGGAGACTCACAAAAAATATTTGTTCAGTGGAAAAAATAGTGGAGGCTACAGATACAGGGTCAGGGGATTTGCCATTCCAATTAGTGGGATGAAATTATTGGACTCCTTTGAGATGTCACAGAATGTCATAAAATGACTCTGGTTTCATCATTCTCTCTTATCAAAGTGTGGCTAGGATGGTGGGAGTGAAACAGAGGAGGACAAGGATGGTGGCATTTTTATGCAGAAATGAGTATATGCAGTACATAGCCTGGGTAACCAATAAGTAAATACACACACAGTGATAGCTGAGTAACAGTTTCATTGCCATCATCAGCAACAATGCCATCCCCAGCTTTGACTGAGACCTCCATGTGCACCAGGAACCAAACTCACAGGCATTTTATATACATGATCTTAATTGTTACAGTAGTTCAAGGGAATATATCTTGCTATGAACACAGGTCTCTCTGACTCTAAGGCCACCTTTCCCCTATTCCACACTGCCATCTCAGGTAAGAAATAAAAATATACATATGGTTGCAACAGAGACTTTGGGCAGAGAAAAGGCCTTGAAATGTCCCAAGAGGCCTCTAGGTTTGCTAGAGTCTGACCAGGCTGGAAAAATCTGCTTGGGCCCTGGCCCAGCTGAGCAGTTAGTGGAAAGTAGCATCTTGTTGGTTGTTTCTTTATCAAGAAATTACATGCAAGCCTTGTCATAGTTTTCAGACCTGACAAAACACTAAGAAACCCTCACCTAACACAACACTTAGTTTCTCTCTAAAACCACCCTAACTCTGAGTACCCCACTGAGGACAGCCAGGAGCAGGTACCTGGGATGTTCCCTGCAGGGATCACAGGGTGGCCACTTAGAATTCTTGTCCAGCAGCTGAGGCTGGGGTGACTCTGGGGCCAAATGATGGCTGGTGTCCAGTATGGTGGGTAGACACTGGAAATGTTATCAACAGTATGCTTCACACAATTCTGTGCCCTCTCCCTGGCCCCAGAACATTGAATCTCTTCTCTTATACCCAAGGACACCTTCTGCAGAGATAGAATGTTTCTTCTTTATTCCTGTTGACATAAGGAGGGACATTTCTGGAATATTATGAGGTTCTTGCCCCACTCCTTACTCTGTCATAGCTTTGGGGGAAGGAGGTTACTATGGAACCTGAGACCGAAGGTGCCACATTTATGAGTATTAAGCTAAAAGATGGCTAAGTTAAGTGAAGGCTGACACATTCACTTCCCTGCTTTTGTGTTCTTTCTGTTTTTACTGCAGACTTGATGAAAACCTCTCAGTGACAGTGATGGACAGAAGTGAGACCACAGGGAGGGGGGCAGATTGGTACCTCTATCCTGGAAGCCCCATGAGGGGTCAGAAGCTGAATCAGTGTTCAGGTAACTTTATCTTGCTGTTCCATGAGGACCCAGGTGCATTGTCCAGCAGAAGGAGATATTTGTCTCCAAGACATTCTTCAGCTTTGATCCAAATTGCCATTGTGTGATCAATCTCTATTCAATAGTCCAGGATACTCTTAAGCCCCCAGAATAGCCTCTAAGGAAAATGTGGAGTGAAACAGGAAGAAAAAGGGAAAGCCTCACCTAAATCAATACCTGACAGTTATCTCAGATTACACCAGCCTAAGATCTCTCCTGAGGATCCTTCCCCCAGTCCAGTCCAGTTATATCTGTATCAAAAACAGTATTGATTGCCCCTCTTCACAGCCCAGTGTGTTGGCTTGGAAAGAAGTTTTGGGTCATGTCCACAATGTTTGCCTATCAAGGTGTGCCATGGGGATTGGAAGTCAGTCATCCTCACCTGCAAGATTTATCTGGGCATTTGTCAGGGAAATGTCAGCTTGTTCCAGGGAGGTTCCCTATCTGCAAAGCCTGGAGATTCATGAAAAGGGCCTAGTGCCAACTCAGTCTTCTTCAAGGACAATCATAGCATCCTTTTTAAAAAAAAAGTTTATGTATGTATGTATGTATGTATTTAGAGTGTGAGCAGGTGAGTGGCAGAGAGAGAGGCAGAGCCTCAGTGCAGAGCCTGATGCAGGGCTCAATCTCCTGGATCAAATCGTGAGATCATGACCTGAGCTGATACCAAGAGTTGGACACCTAACCGACTGAGCCACACAGGTGCCCCCAACTGAATACCCATTTTTTAACACCACCCATGTGCCAGGCCAAGTGCTACATGATCTCATTTTATCCTTCCAGAAACTGTACACAGTTGGGGATTACTCTTCCCCTTTACACAGATGAGAAAACTAAGCTCAGAGGCTAAGTGACACAGCTAGTGCATGACAGAACCACGGTGATTTAAACTCCAGCCAGTCTGGTTTCAAAAACTCAAATTCTTTGCAATTCAATTCAACAGATACTTATTGGACACATATCTTGTGCCAGACTCAGGGGAATCAGAGACAAATAGCACTGTCCTGGCACTCAAGGAACTTCCTGTCAAGTAGACTTTTACTAGAAATGTCAACACACCTCTGAAAACATGATAGCAGAGATGTAAGCATACAGGACTAAGAGGAGAGGAGTGGGGATTCACTCTTTCTGGGTAATCAGTGATGCTTTTTTTCAGGAGCAGAGATCCTTGAAGTGACTTTTGAACAATGAGTAGAAGTGTGCAGGAGAAGAAGAACCTTCCAAATGTACCAGTATGTGAAATATACATTTTAGGATGTGTACTGCACCCTTGTTCACAGAAGATGTGGGAGGCTCATTGGCAGCAGAATGGCAGAATGAACTGTGGTCCAATCACACCAAGGAATATTTTAAAACCATTAAAAGTAGTGGATTAGAGTTGCATCAAAATGACACAAGATTTGTTGGGTGAACAGCAAATTGCAGAAGTGTTTTGAATGTGTGTATGCACACACACATATCTGTACACATTCCTTGCAGAAGACAGAGTCAAAGTCAAGGAGTTGTAAACCACTGTTAGGGGAACTACCAAGAGCTCAGTTCTGCTCGAGTGTCATAAAGAAGGCGAGCCTTCAGTGGGAAGCAGGAGGTTCCCAGGAGTTGAAAAGCGGGTGTGGTTGGAGTTAAGGGTTTACTTTGGCAACTGAACAGACATCTTCTGGAACTGGCCTGAGCTGGGGAGACTCAAGGGTCCAACAGGGATTTGGTGTTGCAATGGTCAGTCATAAAGAGAGGGTTGAAACTTAATTTGGGCCTTGAATGAAAGATGGAGTGGTGAAGTAGGGGAAATGTAAGGGAGTCTGGGCATTTGTGGCTCTAGCATAGACTCACTGGGGACCCCCAGAGTTCCTTTCCCTCTCTAGACTTTTCCTGTCTACGCCTAAATCTCTCAGAATGTGGGGTATCAGATCCTACATGATACTCATGCCATACCCAGGAAAGATCCTTTAACAATTAGTCCAGGCAAGACAATGAGCTCTAATCACATCTCTATCCCAACTGCTCCACTGAAAGAGCTCTTGCTGAGATCAGCAATGTCACCCAAAAACCTTCTCTTTCTTCTTCTTTCTTCCCTCAGAAGCATTTGACTCAGCATTTGCCCTCCTTCATGAAAATGCTTTTCACTCTTGACTTACATAATAGGATATTCTCCTGAATTTTCTTCTCTCACACTGGCCTTGATCTTCTTTGCTGGCTTCTCTTTCTTTATCTGAAATCTTAATATTGGCAGCTTTAGATGTGATCATGAGCCCTCTACATGCTCTCCAGGCGATCCTATCTAGTCTTTTGTGAGAAAGGCCAAAGAATGTTTCTTCTTTATTCCTGTTGACATAAAGAGGGACATTTCTGGGATATTATGAGGTTCTTGCCCCACTCCTTACTCTGTCCTACAGAAATGTTACTTAGATAGCCTGAGGAGGAGCTAAGCCTCCATGGTAGCATTCTTGATGCACATTGCTCTCCAAAATTATCTTGTTCCTTTGTCCACATCTTTATATTCTCTCTCCTCTCCTAGAATATAAGCTCCATGAGGGCAGGGCCCTAGTCTGTTTTATTTGCCACTTTATCCTCAGCACCTCAGTGCTTTATGTAAATTTCATAAGAGGGGTTTGGTAAATATTTTATAACTGAATGAATGAAAACATGACCCCTGAGCTCTAAGTCTGAAGGGAGACGTTAGGATTACTTGCTTCTAAGCCACAGCTCCCTGTGGTTCCTTGGACAAATCTCTCATCCTAGCCAAGTCTTCAAATATTTCTCCTGCTTTTCAGTGGCTCTAGCTCAAGTGCCACCTTCTCTGTGCAGTCTTCTTTAATTCTTTCTGGAAGAATTGTTCATTTCCTTCTCCATGTTCCTGTAAACTTTGCCTTGCCTGAATTACTGCACTTCTTTAATTCTGTGTAATAGTAGAATATGTCACTTCCTTGTTTGTCTCCACCAGATGGCAATTGTCTTGAGGACAGAGGCCATGTTCTACTTCTCTCCGTATCTTCCCAGCACCCAGCTCACTGTGTATTTCAATTTAATACAACTTGTTGAATGGGATGGAATATGGTTGACAGCACTCTTACAGCACTGCTTGTGTAGACTGGCCAGCTCCTTTACCAGCTTTGCCCAGCAAAGCCTCCTTTGATCAAAGTTGACTCCCTGTTCCAGAAGGCAATACTTTCTATTCAGCTTGTTACATGGTTTTCATCCTTTTGGATTTAGATTTTCTTATTTAGTCAGAGTGTAAATTTCAATGTCCAAACTACAAATCCAGCTCCATTCATTGCTCTCTCTTGGCTCATGATATATTTCAAAATTGACATCTAAAGTCAAGAACTGAACGGTTTCCAAACTTAATTTTCCTCTTTTCAGGTTCCTTCCACATATCTAGGCTATCAGTAACATTAAATATCCCAGTTCCAGACATAGAGGCTGGGCAAATAACTCCTTTCCTTTCTAGAAGAAAGTTGTGAAGCTCAGCTAAATATGGCTCCTCCCCTTCTCCATACATCTCCACTCATTAAATTCTACTAATCCTTTAGGGCTCTGCACAATGTAGTCTTTTCCATGTTTTACATATTACTTTTGTCATAATAATCTTTGCAATAATTGAGCATCTACTATGTGCCTGACCTTGTCCTAAATACGCTTAGCTAAATATAGCATCTCATTTGCCATATGAGAAAACCAAGACTCACAGAAGCAGCAGTGCTTGGCCACAGTTACCCGAATAGGAGGTAACCAGGGAAAGATTGAAGTTCATCTCTGCCTGACTGGGAAGACCGTGTTTCTCCTACTGTATTAAGCTGTCACAGCTGCTGACTCAATTCATTCTCAGTGGCACATCACTTTATTCAACAAATATTCATCAAACACCTCCTATGTGACAGGAACTGTTGTAAGGAGTCAAGATACAAGTGAATGTAGAAAAAGGCTCTGCCTTCATGGAAGTTACATTCTAGTGGAGGGAGATACACAAAAATGATGAACAGAATTTTTTAAAAAGGTGTAAAATACTAGAAAGGAATAAATGGTATGGAAAAATAGCAAGGTGAGGGAACTAGAGAGTCCTGAGAGCATGTGGTAGTAAATACAATTTCAAAATACAGTGTTGAGGAGGAGTCACATTGAGACAGTGATGTTTAAGCAAAGACCTGAAAGAGGTAAGAGAGTTAGTCCTGGGGGACAGGTGAAAGAGTCTGAGGAACTCAGGTTGTATAAAGAGCATCCCAAAAGGCAGATGATATGAAGGCTCTGGAGTGGGAGCTCGCCTGATGGCTCAAGGAATGGCAAGAAGGCCAATGTAGTGTGGTGGAATGAAGATAAAGAATAGGATATGAGGTAACAAGGGCTGCAGAGGTATAGAATGGTGGTTCTCAACCAGGGGTGATACTGACCTTGGAGGGTATTTGGCTGTGTCTGGAAACATTTTTGGTTGTCACAGCTTTGGAAGGGTAGATGCTACGGGCATCTAGTGAACAAAGGCCAAAGATGCTGCTAAACATCCTACAATGCATGGGAAAGCCTTTCCACTGCCCTGCAAAAAAGAATTATCCTACCCCACATATTAGTAGTGAGAAATTGAGAAACTCTGGTGTAGAACCTTATAGGACTTTGGCTTTATTATGAGTCAGATGAAGCATCTTTTGAGGATCTTCAACAGAGTAGTGATATCTGATTTATACTTGAAAGGAGCTGCTGTATTGAGAATACATAGGCTGTGGGGAAGAGGGAAGGGGGGAAGCAGAGAGACCAACCTGGAGGTGACACCATACTAGCATGGTGACTACCATACTGGAGGTACCATACTACCATACCCCTGGGGTGGCCCATGGCCCTCTAGTGTGGCAGAGTGGCAGGTCTTGGAAGCCAGGTAAGAAAAGAAGTAACATTGCTGAGCACCTAGAGGGTGCTGAGCTTTCATGTTCATTATCACTTTAGATGTATCTGATCTTTATTAGCCCCAACACTTAGATTGGAGTTAGTTTGACATCCCTGAAGCAAGCAAGGGTTTGACTAGAAAGGAGAGAATGTTTTTATTTCACACTTTCTGACCATTCAGATTTGTTTTGGATGATGCTATTTCTCTACCAAAAGAGTAGATGCCTGGCTGCAGGTTAGGCACTTGCCCTTCCAGAGGCATATCAAGAAACGTCTTGGAGACACCCAGGTAGAACTCTCTTATGGTCCCCTTATGTTGTCATTCAGCAAACACGCCCTTGGGAGGTGCCTTGATGAGGCTATTACACATTCTACTAAGAACAGATACTGGCATCAGCACCTAAAAGAGTTGATGCCATTCCTCCTGGCAGAGCCAAGTCCTTGAAAATGTCTATATTAGGGTCTTTCCTCCAAAGACTGGAAGGTCATCCATACAAGATCAGACAAGCAGATATAAGGGGTGGGGGCAGGGCATTGCAGGAGAGCAAGAAGCCGAGCTAATAAAATTCCAGAACAGTGACTCATACTAAGTGGTGATGAAAAGTGAACTTGTCTCAGTCATGCCAATGGCATAATCCATGGTCACATCAACACTATAGTCCTGCTCTGCCTCTGCTGGTGACAGGACTAGTGCTAATGAACCTTTTTTCCATCTTTATCACCTTCCACATCCTAGGGTAGGTGATCAGGCTGACTGAGCCCCTGCTTCTTGGAACTCTCTTCTCAAGGCTTCTATGGCCACACTTTCTATCCCCTCATCCATTACTTCAATCATCTCTTCTGCTTAGAATGACTATACTAGTTTCCTAGTGCTGCTGTAACAGATTAGGTGGCTTGAAAGAGTAGAAATTTATGATCTCAATAGTTCTGGGAGCTCGAAATCTGAAATCATTGTGTTAGCAGAGTCACATTCCCTCTGAAATCTGTAGGAGAATCCCTTTTTGCCTCTTTCTGGCTTCCGGTGGTTTGTCAGCCATTTTGGGTGTTCTTGGCTTGCAGCTCCGTCACCCCAAGCTCTCTGCCTCTGCTACCAATGGTGTTCTTCCTATGTCTCTTTTCACATGGCCATCTTTATTTTCTTAATTAAAGTAACTGATATATTTTCAAGTTTAATAGCATTTAGGTCCAAACAACTATTCTATCACACTGATTTCTCTTTGTTTTAAGTTTATTTATTTATTTTGAGAGAGACAGAGACAGTGCAAGTGGGGGAGGGGCAGAGAGGGAGACAGAGAATCCCAAGCAGGCTCCGCACTGTTGGCATGGGGCCTGATGTGTGGCTCCAACTCACGAAACTGTGAGATAATGATCTGCACTGAAACCAAGAGTCAGTCACTTAACCAACTCAGCCACCCAGGTGCCCATTTCACACTGATTTCTATACATATCTGTGTTACCACTGAATTGTGAACTTTTTTTAAAAGTTTAAATCCAAGTTAGTTAACATATAGTG